GACTTCTTGAGGCAACGTATGGCCTTATAGTTTGAGCCCTTTTTAATTGGATCCTGTGGCAGGAGGTTCATCAGCTGTCCACAGGCTGCATCTCAAAGTTTCTGGTTATCTTGGATATAGGCTTGAAGGATATGGTGATCTTTAAGAACCTTCCAGATGTCTGCCTTCATGTCTCTTTATGGGACCAGGACCTATCCATGCTTATTTTCACTTCTTCAGCCGTTGAAATCTTCCTTCTGTAGGTCTGCTTTTGTTAGTCGTAAAGAATTTGTGGGAGACTCCAGCATTTCTACAGGATCACTTTGACTTAATGTAATCCTGCTCATCTGCTCAGAAAGACATAAAGAAGTTGCACTGAGCCTATCACTATAGCTTATTGTGGTGGGAATTGGATACTATTACAGGACCTTCTTATTTTAAACTTAATGATGAGGAACAGAATCAGCCTACCAAATTATTATCAAGGTGCTAAAAAATACACTTGGGTAGCCTAACAATTTATCATCTGGCTGAAGTCATTTATGGCAATGGTATGGAATATTTCCTTTTGAAGACAAAATTTTGATGTTATTCCTAGAATATGCTCTGTAACTGGGGTTAGGAAGAGAGGCACACTAACTTTGTCACTTGGCAACCAATTCTATTTTGAAGGGGGGATGAAGCCTAGGTTAATCCAACTGAGCTGGCGAAAGTATTTAATTTTCTCTATACATCTTACTTTAAAAACTATTCTGTAGCTTCCTAGTTGACTAAGTCTATGGCAGGTATTTACGAATTAACAAGGAGTTTCATCTTTTTCTTTGGTATTACTTGAATAACAGAGACAAATACAATGGCAAGAAAATGTTTCTGAGTCCAGTGAGGATTTACTATGAGTTAGAAGTTCAGAGCGCACTGTGTTAAATTTAGAGCACTTGACCCCTCCCTTGCAGCCTCATGCTGAGAGCAGCTGTGCCGATGAGGAAAGTGAAGCAAAGTGTTCCATTTCCTTCCCAACCCCCACAGTGAGGCTCTCTCTCCTCTCCTACTGCTCCTCTTTCCTTGGCTGTCACCTGTTGCTACTTTTGCAGATCTGAGAAAAATCCAAAGGCTCCTTAGAGTCAATCCACTTAAATAAGGATCAAACTCTCAGAAGAAGTAGTGGAGAAAAGTTTTTGTATGAGTTTATCTTGAGGGACTTAAGTTCATAAAAGCATTCTGTTATACTGAACAAAACTTGGTCATAATTGTAGGGACTGTGAAATTACATAAGTAAAAAATAAATCAAACTTTGTTTTGTTTGGTGCTATTTCCCACCATAGTTGGAATGGCATGAAGGATGCATTTTTTTTTTCTATTTCTGTGCTACTAATCATGACAAACTTAGCTGCTAGAAACCATAGAAACCATGCCCATTTGTTAGCCCCAGGTCCTGTAAGTCCCAGGTCCTACTCAATAGGTTTGGCTGAGTTTTAAGCTTGGGGTCTCTCTGGGTGGCAGCTGGAAAATGATCTCACCTGGAGGCTCCAGGCACGAGGCTGCTTCTCAGCTCATTTAGGTAGTTGGCAGAACTCAGTTCCCTGTGGTTGTAGGGCAGAGACTCTGTTTCCTTGCTGTCTGCCCTGGTCCTCTCTCAGCTTCCAGAGCCACAATCACCTTGACACAGAGCCCCCTCCATCTTCCTGAACAGCAGAGCAATGAATCCTGCTTGCTCTTGAATCTCTCCGGCTCTCCCTTCTGCTACCAGGCACAAAAACTCTCTGTTCCTGAAGGGTTCATGAAGTCTGATTAGGCCACCCGGATTATTTCCCTCTTGCCATGTAAATGACACAATCACAAGAGTGACATACTCATGGATTCCACTTTCACTCGCAGGGGAGGGAATCATACAAGGGCAAAGGTCATCCTGAGAATTCTACACAATACCACAGTGGCACGATGTGGCTTTGTTCACTTAATATCTAACGTTGGCAGTAAAACAATAATAGCCATATGGAGAGCGCCATCAGTCATCTCAAGGGTGAATATCAATCTGCAACATTAAAATGATCACTCCTGGAAGTAGTGCCTGTCAGGTCGTCATCCTTGTGGTTGATTCGTACCTACTTCTTCAGGGCTGGCAAGTCTAACTTTCCAGTTCTTCTTTAGTTGGTGGTTTTGTCAGTGATCACATCATTTCTACTCCAGTTTTGACTTCCTAGAACCCTGCATCTTAATGTGACAATCAATTTTTGTGGGATGCTACACAACATCCTACTACCAGTGATCCCTGGATACTGATGTTTGTAGTGTGAAGCACTGAGGGAACGTACTCACTCAAGGTCACATGCCTACTCACTGGAGCAGCTAGGATTGGACTCAGTCTGACCCTTAAAAAGTTAACCATTGATATTTTTTTTTTACCAATTATCTATTAATATCCATTCGTGCTCTATATTCTGCACGGAATGATAACCCTTATTTTTTCTTCTGATAAACTCGTACCCATCGTTCTAGAACTTCTTTTTCCTTGGGAAATATTTTCTGACCCAGTTTGTCTCTATTCCCATTACATCCTGGAAGAACTGACTCCTTTCTCTGGGTTGCTCCCAAATTCCTTTTTCCAGACATCCTTTATTGCACTTAACACAATATATCCAACAAGTTAACTCGTGTTTCCATCTCCCCAGCCCCAATCTAAGCATTGTTTACAATGGAATTTAGCTTAATTAGTAAACACTAAACAAATGCTAATGAATTCCAGAAAAACATTATAGATTTAGGGTAGACCAGAGATTCTCGGCTGAGGTTGATTTAACTCCCTTTCTCTCTGAAATTTTTGGCAGTGAATTGAAACATTTTTGCTTGTCATAAATGATGCAGTGAAGATGCAATTGGTATCTAGTATATAGGAGCTAAGAAACATTCTGCTGTTAAACATCCTGCAATGCTCAGAACTGTCCCCTTATCCACACCAAAAGCACCATCCAACTTGGAATGTTAATATTGTTATTGTTGAGAAAGGCTAAGCTACACAATACATAGAGAGTCAGACATCGGAGAGAAACAAGAAAAGTCAGAAATGTGGAATTTCTTGGTTTTCTTTAATTACAGGGGAAGCCAAGAACATATTGTTGAGCTGAGAAGAGGTAAGATCTGGTCACCCAGGTTGCCAAGGCAACAAGAACTTCATATTAGTATAATATCATAATGACAAGGAAGTTACATAGTCGGTAAAGTGGGGGTATATCTGTTCTAGTTTGCTTCACTGGAAAAAAACTGAGGATTTGGGGGAGAATTTTCTGCCTTGGACCAAAAAAAGAAAGAAAGAAGAAAAAGGCTTTGATTTATTTATTTTTAAAGGATAACTTGAGTGTATCTTCTAGAAAATGTCTACGTGTTGCTGACCTGTTGCTTTTTCCATTGACTCTGATCAAATTAGCATAGGGCAGTGGTTCTCAGAGTGTGGTCCCTGAAACTACAGCACCAGCATCATCTAAAGTGTGTTCAAACTGCAGATTCTCAAAACCATTCCAGACCTACTGAATCAGAAACTCTGGGGGTGAATATAATAAATATGAGTATAATATAACAAAACGTCAAGGTGGTTTTGATGCATGCATGCCGGTAATAAATAATATAGTTGCTCTCAGTTTTTCTCATCTGTTCCACTAATGATGTTATAGTCTGACATGAACTCTGGGCCGGGGAAAGTTGACTTTCCTAATTCTCTGTGAAGGATGGCGTGGGGCTGAGGCAGTGTAAGCTGATGTGTAGATTGTTTTTCCCGTGGATTCTATTGCTCTGTTCTGCAGTAATACTCTCCCCAGAACTCTGTTCTCCTTTGCACACATCAATCCATGTGATTCAGCAGTAATAGAAGAATAAAGATACTGTTAACAACCCACTCATAAAAGTGAGGAAACAGCCAACAAAGACAAAATAATTTCTTGAGGTCATGTAGCTAGTAGTTTTTGAGGTAGGAAGAGATTCTAGATCTGCAAAGGCTGTATTTCTTATATAGAAGCTCCTTGATTTGTGAGGAGTTATATCCCAGTAAACCCTTCATAAATAAAAATACTCAGTCAATACTATTAGCATATAGTGAACATCATAGTGTAGCAACAGAGTACACAGTGTCAGTTGATCGTCCTCGTGATCATGTGGATAGCTGGGAGCTCTGGTTACTGTGCTGCTCAGCATCACCAGAGAGGATCCGACTGCACACTGCTTCCCAGGGAGAGAAGTGGAACTTCAACCCAATATGTATTGCTTTCACCCCATCATACAACTGAAAGCCTGTAAGTAGAACTGTGTAGGTCAGCGACATCTGTACCGGGCAATAATCAATTTCCTTTAATACTCTTTCTAGTGTCATTCATCTTGTAATATCAGAGACATTAATGCCTAGAAAATACTGCAATATTACATAATACTGTATTAGGGCTGGATCTACTTTCTAGGTCAGAAACATCTCGTTTTCATTTGAGAGTTTGGTAATATTAATAAGAGAATAATGTTGCTATTGGTTTTCAGAATAAGAAAGAAAAGTATGGAATAGATTCAATAAGTATCTGATTGTTTATGCCTTCTACTMTTTACAGAAGTTTAGCAAGTGAATTTAGAATATGTCCTGAAAACAATCTTTTCATTAAATTTCATCTTTTTGTTAAATGTGAGTACTATGAGAACTTATTCTACCTTTTATTCACCAAAAGTGTTTTCTTTCCTTTTTCTTTTTTTGTAGAAATGTAGGAAATCCAAATACCTGATATAATGGGAATAAAATTAACCTGAAAAACAGATAATTAAATTATACAAATGTTAGAGGAATATATGATAAGCCTTTGGGTTACACCAATTGGAAAGAGAGAAAGGGTAGAATGTGGTGGAAGCCAGGAGGGGGAAGAGATTTCACTCTCCTAGGAAAGGATTCAAACTATGTTTTCTTATCTAATAAAGAGTCCAGAATAAAGTTGCCAAAAATACAAATGCAGAAGTGCAATCCATGAGATATTGTCTTTCTCAGGGTTACTACATACCAGTCACCCGAAGTTTATCTGTGCCAACCACAACTTCCTTTTCATCAACAGTGAAGAGTGGCTTTCCATCTTTGGAGTTGATCTGAAACTGCTGACTCTGGACTTCTACCATTTTAGGACCTGAAGGATCAATTAAAACAGTTTATTATAAAGTATTTACCACAGGCAATGTTGAAATCCTTATTTTTTACTATGCCATGTCATCTAGTACCAAGTAACTAAACATTTAGGATTTGCTATCAATAGTTTTATTGATTCTGTGACTAAAGTTTGTAAGTCTTAAGCTTAAATCTATAATTGAAATTAATTTGTCAAGCACATGCTAATCAATATCAAATAGATGCATGACCATTTAAAAGATTTTTTGTTCATATTTATAACATTATAATATGATTCTTCTACTCGTAATTAAATTTGTATTTTTATTAACCAGCTGAGGGCTTTGTATTCTCAAGTGCAAGGTTTGTGAAAGACCATCTTACAAACTGCTCACTTGAGGGGACCAAGTTCACCCAGAAGACAGTCAACCTCGACTCTCTCCTTTGCCATCATTCTTAGAAGAGGGCTTGCCCTGCTCCAAACACTGCCATGCAAGAACTCCCTTGCATTTTTGCCCTTCTTCTGCTCTTAGGAAATTTTTGTCTTTTTCACGCCCTCTTTCTTTTCTGGTCCACTTTTCCTCCAACCTCAATCCCTTCACCTGGCTCTAGACCCACCAACTTCCAGCTCATTAATTTATTCCACAGATGACTAACTGGAGCCCACTGTGTGCTGGACACAGGAGACGCTGTGCCCTCGGGGTGGATTCCCTTATATTTAATTTTTTTTACCCCTCTCATGCCTATGCCCAACTATGAATGAACCCTGGGCACTCATTCTTGCATGTGTGTGAGTGTGAGTGTGTGTGTGTGTGTGTGTGTGTGTGTGTGTGTATTTCCCAATTTCTGTGCTTCCAGTCTTTCCAATCCAGGTATCACCATGGATCCTCTCTAGAACATAGTTTTATTATTTGCTTAAGAAACTGTAAGAATCCTCCAGTTATTTTATGCCCCTTTCATATTCTTGTCTATAAAAGGTAAGTTTATTGAGCAAGTATATTATATCTTATAAACTTTTTGTGTGTTCTCATGTTCTTCATAGTATTTATGAATATTTGGGGGTAGAAATGAAGTAAATCATTTAACTTAATGTATTAATTAGTCTTAGACATGATCATCAGAGTATTTTTATATAATTTTATTGATTCCTACTTCAAAACTCTCCAGTAATAAATAATAAATAAATGGTTTTGATAAGAGAAGTAGTTTTAATTGTAAACTCATTTCCCCCTATCTCCTGTTTTTTAAGGAAGCCTGATAATTGAATGTATTTTTCCTGCTCTAAGACTCATGGCCAGTATTTCTCATATCTGGGTCACTGATATATGTCTTACATATTTATTATATGAGGATGGATTTGTATTAAATGATAAATACAAACTTATCTGATATGAAATCAAGGAAAGAACTGTAATAATTTACACATTACAAGTTCACAGTTTTGGTTTTCAGAAGTTCTTATGACAACTCTAGGAAGTTCTGTTGAATGTCAGGGATTAAATTTAATTAATATTTTTTCTGAAATAATAATTTCCTATACATTGATAAATACCCATCAAATGAATCTAGCTGCTTATTATTTGAATGGCAAAACCATATAAACCCTTACTCAAAGAAAATGCAAGAAAGTTAATCTATTCCATTCAACTCATTTATTGCATACTTTTAAAGATCCCATGCTAAGAACTGTATAGATGAATAAGAAGTAACTCATAAATAAGAAGTAACTCATGACCTGTAGGAGTTCCTAGGCCACTAAAGAGAAAAGCATTAAGCCTAATGTCAGGACAGTCCGGTCAGTGCTGGATACAAGCATGGGCAGTGTTTGATAAGGGCCTTGAAAGGAATGCATCCTCCATCTTCTGAGATCAGAAACGGCCTCCAGGAAAAGATGAAGTCTGAGCTGACCTTGAAGGAGTGAGGAAAGGACACTGTAGTAGGAGAAACTGCCTGAGCAAAGGCATTTGGGAAAATAAAGTTTCATCTCCATTTCATTAAAGAAAATGTTGGCATCGGATGTTTAAATTTAAGTGTTTTCCACTTCAGAAAAAAAAATACTGTTCTCCAAGTAATAATAAACCCATGATTACTGAGTTTGTAGTTAATCTTATACCTTTCACTACCTTTCTACCAGTTTTTATGAATTCATTGGGTATTGATTAGATCTGGGCAAGTAATCATCTTTTGTAGAGAGATCTTAAGAAATAAAATTCTACCTTGTTGATAAAAAATGATTACTAGTATAATAATTTTAATGGAAGACTCTTATACAAACGAAGAAAAGTTAATAGTTTTATGATCTAATTAATTTTAGTGAAAATTCTTCCTTAACACCCAAAATGCTTCATTAGCAAACATTTTCCCCCTTGCAACATCTTTACTAAGATATCATCATTGAAAACCAAATATCAGAAAGTCCTTTAAAAAAAGAAATGTGTATTCTGTTGCTGAAAATATGGCATTATAAAGTACTGGACAAAACTATGATAAAGTTTGCTCTCTACTTTTTTGGTGTAATCTTGTTTTTATTTATAACATTATAATATAATTCTTCTACTCATAATTAAACTTGTATTCTTATTAACCAGCTGAGGGCTTTGTATTCTTAAGTGCAAGGTTTGTGAAAGACCATCTTACAATCTGCTCACTTATTTCATTTCACTTTATGTCTGACATTAATGATCCTTTAAAATAACCCAATAAAGTGAAATAACATAGAACCAGCCTTGAGAATTCTTTGAGCAGACAAAACCAGTTGATCCATGCAAGTGAAAAATAACTTATACTACTTTTTGTTAATGTATCTGACAATCATAAACACAACTTAAGTGGCTTTCCAAAAAGGGTGAAAGATGATCACTTCTAACCATCCTCTGCCATCTGGAAACCCGCCTCGTAATAGTCCAGCATTGTATAAGGTCTAACATCTTCACTGTTGCTCTAAATACTTAAGCCAGCCTGTAAGGCCAGCTTCTGAGCTTACTCTTATCACTTCCTGGTTGGGCAATTGTTTTTCATATGCACAATGCGCCTTTTAAACTTGATCTGATTTATTTTTGACACCTGTTTAGCCTGACCCAATTCTTGAGGCCAGTCCATTATATCCCTGCAATGTGAACTTGTGGACCCACATTGACTAGGCAGATGCTCCCAAGCTGTTCACAGGAATTGCCTTGGAAGAATTTCCTTTCCTTTTTCCTGACTTGCTTTGTTGAAGTTTGACCATCTGTCTTTGTTGCAAAATCTTGGCTGTGTTTCTCAGTCCTGATTCTCACTATGACTATAAATACCTCAAAAGGCCATGGCTCAGACCTGCCCCTGAAACTTTTTCCACTTTGGACCACCTTKGATAGGTCACCTTGCCTCATCTCATCTATTCCAAGTTTAAACTCAGTTCATCCCATCATTCCTCCATTTATTACAAATATTTATTGACTGTCTACTAAATCTATAATAGTAGCCTGAATTAAGAATTGTGGCATTAGCCAGATGAAAAAAAAACATGTTCAATATTTGAGTATTGTTTAATCATATTATTATATACACGAATTCCTTGCAACATTACAGAGCCATTCAAATAATGCCATGAAGATGTTTTATTAAATTGGAAAATGATGAATTTCTGGGTAGCTGAAGACAGTGGTGGCTCTGCAATAATCAACTTCCCCAAAATCTTCTCTCCAAACTATAAGGAATAGCTTTCCCAGCTATAAAAAATTCTACACAGACCACACCCTCAGCAGGATTTGAAGAGAAGCTGAAAAATAATGGAATCTAAGGAGAAAAATGTCCAAGTGCCAGGACCACAGCTGCGGAAACTCTTGCACCATTCTGGCCCATCACAGGCTTCCTGGGAGCCTGGGAGCACTGAGAAGCCTATGGGGAAAGCAGAGGAGCTGCATTTGTGAAGGGCTTACAAGAGATGGGCAAAGTAACTATAGAAATGGATGCAAAATAGAGCTGGGATAGAACTTGTGATATCAAGGTGCAATTCAAGTCAAAAGCATTAAACATGACAAAAAGGACTCTTTCAATGCTGAGATCAAGTGGATTAAAAAATAAGGAGATACAAGGTCTAAAAGCACTATCAACAAAGCAACTCTCACAGATGTATATTGAAGAATGAATATTGAAAGTACTTTAAGAAGCAAGTTTCACACGGATATACTTAAAGAAAAAGATAGCACAAGGGAAACTATAAACTACTATTATTCATGAATGTACAGCATTTGAAATGGTACCATAAGGAAACAGAATCTAACATTACATTAAGAAAGTAATATACCGTGACTAAGTGAGATTCATTCCAGGAATGCAAGATGGGTTATATAAGGAAATGATTAATATCATAATTAATATCATATATAATTAGTAATTCTAATAACAATAAATCACATTATCCCCATAGATGTTGGAAAAGTCTTTGCAAAATTCAACACACATTCATGATAAAAATCATTCAAGAAAATAAGCACTGAGAGATGCTTTCTTAACATGGTGAAGTATATGTACCTTAACCCTAAGGACAATGTATTATTTAATATAGAAAAGTCAAAAGCATTTCCACTAAGATTGGGAACAAGACAAGGATATCCATTATGTTTATTACTTCTCAACATTGGATTTACTATAGTTCTGATGTTGAGTGTCCGCTAAAGGTCCAATATAAAGGCTTGTCACCATGCTGGTGGTATAGGGACATTCTGGGGAACCTTTGAAAAGTGRGATCTAGTGGGAGGTCCTTAGGTCATGGAGACCTGATCTCTTGGTCCCTCTGCTTTCTGGTTCAAAAGTGAATGCTCACTCCAACATGCACTCCCACCATAATGTACCACCTTCACCCCAGGCCTAGTCCAACAAGGCTGCCTGATCTTGGACTTGAACCTTCAGAACCATGAGTAAAAATAAACCTCTWTTTACTTCATAAGTATCCTGTGTCAGGTATTTCATTATAGTAATAGTGGTATTAGTCAATGCAACTAACAAAGTAAATCAACTAGAGGCATATGATTGCACAGGAAA